GAGGAGATGAGGGGAAGAAAAAGAAAAAGAAGCAAGTGCATTCAGTCAATTAATAAGTGGCTCCGTGACTGGTGTCATCGCCACAATTTTGGCTTCTTTGACAATGGCATGGGTCACATGGCACCAGGCCTACTGGCACCAGATAGAACTTGTCTTTCTCAGAGGGGAACGAGGGTCTTAGCGCAAAAGCTAGCAGGGCTCATTGACAGGGCTTTAAACTAGATTTGAAGGGGGAGGGGGGTAATATCAAGAGTGATAAAGGTATGCTGGAAGTACCTGTAGAACAGAAGAAGGGAATTCCAGCTGCTCCAGCCAGGAAGTCAGATTCATCTGGGGCTCAACTTAAATGCCTTTATGTCAATGTGCGCGGCATGGGGAATAAGCAAGAGGAGTTAGAAGTGTGTGTGCGCCTGTTGGGATATGATCATATTGGCATCATGGAGACATGGTGGGATGAATCCTATGACTGGAGTCAGAATAGAAGGGTATAGGCTCTTTAGGAAAGATAGACAGGGAAGAAGAGGAGGAGGAGTTGCCCTCTATGTCAAGGACCAGCTAGAGTGCATGGAGCTGCACCTGGGGATGAATGAGGTCCCGACTGAGAGCTTATGGGTTAGGATTAAAGGGAGAGCAGGGACAGGGGACGTAGTAGTCGGGGTCTGCTACAGACCACCTGACCAGGAGGACTGGGTGGATGAGGCCCTCTACAGACAGATAGGAGCTGTCTCACGTTCACGAGCCCTGGTCCTCATGGGGGACTTCAACCACCCTGATATCTGTTGGAAGGACAATACAGCAAGGCATAGGCAATTACACTTTTCTCCCTGTCCTTCCCACCCCAAATCTCTTCAGATTATGTGTAGCACAAATTGAATGCAGAAAGTCTTGTGGCATGAATTATCATTTGATTTAAAAAGCTAACACCTGCCTATTTTGGCCAATAAAATAAAAGCAATGAAAAAAAGCTGTAGGATTTTTTGTGGCACTAGTGTTTTCTAAGATACATATAAGCCTGTTTTATCCTGAAATCATATATGCCTGTGCTTCCAGATGTTGTCACCATAGACTACAGTACATGAGGATCAGTTACATGAGTTGTTAACCTGAATGTGTCCTTGCAGGATTCAAGGATCACCTCCTCCAAGCTCAGGAGTGATGCATCCCAACAAAGAGGAAGTCAGGCTAAAATGCCAGGAGGCCTGCATGGAGGAACAAGGAGCTCCTGGACCTACCTGGACACAAAAAGAAGGCCCACAGAGGATGGAAGCAAGGACAGGTAGCCTGAGAAGAATACAAAGAAGTTGTCCAAGCAACCAGAGATCAGGTTAGGAAAGCTAAAGCCTGATAGAGTTAAATCTGGCCAGAGACATCATGGGCAACAAGAAAAACTTCTATAGGTATGTCAGTGATAAAAAGAGATCTAGGGAAAACGTAGGCCCTCTCCGGAAGGAAACAGGGGACCTGGATACCCGGGATATGGAGAAGG